GCCCCCCCCCTCCCCTAAAATATAAGAGCAAAAACAAACAAGTTAACAAACATACAAATAAACATACAAGCAAACACATAGAATAAAAGACATCACAACTTACATGAAATATGTTGGTCCTTGTGTATAAATATTTGTCTAGAGTCTCTGACGACTTGAGAGAGATGCGCTTTCCTTCAGGTCCCAATAGCCGAATTTCACTCTCATACGGCGTGGGGAAAGCCGCAACTGGAACCACAAGTAAAAACAACGTAAAGGTCAAAATAATGAAAAGGGCAAATCGAAGATAGAGGTGAAATTAAAAGTCATCCATCTGAAATAATGACTTTTATAAAAATACAGGCATTAATCCACTCTGTACCTTGCGTACTGAGCTGTATATTTCGTATTCGTGTTTTATATAAATTGCATACAACAACAAATATCACGTAACAGTCAAATTGAAACAAAGGTCAAAATGAAGACAAATGTGAGTTTTGAAATTACCGATTTGAAATAATAATTTTTGTTTTCAATTACAGGGAATTAAATGCGCGCTGAATCAAGTAAACTGAGCAGTAGGCCTATATCAATTCATCATGTTTTCGTGTAAATTGCCTACAGCAACGAAATATCACATAGATCTAACCTGTTTTGTGAAGCAAAGATCAAATCGAAGAAAGTCGTGAGATCCAAAGTAGCCTCTAAAAAATACCCCCAACAACCCATCTTATTCCTAAAATAAGGAATTGCATCCATACTATTCCATGCAAACTGAGTAGTAAACCGTTTGCTCGTGTTTTTACATAAATTTCGTAAAACAACGGAAATCACGTAACAGTACAGCATTAAATAAAGGTCAAATAAAATATTCTCATGAGCTCAAAAGTCGCCTGTCTGAAATGACAACAGTTTCCCAAGAAAAACAGGTAATTAAATCCATATTTTTTACCTTGCAAACCGAGCAGTCTATAGCAAATTCATGGTTTCAACTGAATAGTGTTTCATGTCCATGGCATTTTCATGAATGATATCTGTTATCCTAGTTTGACGCACATTTTGAATTATTAATATGGATTCTTTACGATTTCAGTGAAGTCCAACAAATGAACTTGCATCAATGTCTGATATGATACTTTGTAACTGTAGATGTTTTATGCACCGACAGTCACGATTTAGATCATTTATGAGACTTCGACGTTGCTTGTCATGTCCAACCCGGGCTAAGAGGAATACAACGCCTTTGCAGACAGGTGTAGATCTTCATCAAGTGCCAAATCTACGACAGACATCGGGGGTCAGGTTCTCCATTCATTCCTTTGCTCAGATGCTCTTAAAAAAGCTACGTTTCCCTGATCTTTCCCGTTACCCATTTATTTAGGTTCCCTAAATAGGTTGCTCTGGGCCTACCCCTGCCTCGTTAGCCTTCGATTTCGATAGTGAGAGCTAGATGTTCAAGACCTTTATGTCTATTCAGGTGTCCCAAAAACTGCTTTTGTCGTTTCCTGATTGTTTTTAACAGTGAGCGTCCCACTTGGGCTTCATCAAGCACTACCTCATTTTGATTTCTTTTCCTTCTACGATATTCTCAGCAGTCTCCTAAGAAAGCACATTTATGTTGCTTCTATTTTATTTTCACATATCCTGATTTTTTCCAAATACTTTGTCGTCCCAGGTGGTTCTGACCTAACCGTAAGGCATTACTTTGCTTTATTTACTGTTATTACTGCCGTGACCATGGTCTCTTGCCATGCACTAGCCTAATGTCATGACGTCCCCATCTTGAGAGCGTGATATCGATCTTCACACGGTGGCACCATCTAACAAAGTATCTTTGCCATTCTACCCCAATGCGTCCGAAACAGCCCAAGTTTGCTCTATTGATAGGAAGGGTCTTATTGTGGTCGCCTCTCACATAATATAAGTTGTGTTGATAAAATTAGAATCTAAAGTTAAACCCTTTATTTGGAACATACTTGATCTACTAGATAACGTGCATCCAGGATCTCCACTTTATGTGGGGCTACATTTGAGTCGCAGTGACGTCAAACCAAAAAGACGTTTTAAATTTACTTTAAAACAAGGAGCTTAATTTGCCTTTTGCCGCTGTAGCTATATACCTAGAGGTGTCATCTCTAGCTCACAGGCTGACGTGCAATGACCCGCCATTGCTTACGGTCGCTAACTGCCGTTACATTTGTACTCTATCATACTACGACAAGTCCATGCTTTGATATCATCGGTCCGGTCCATATTGTTCTTTGCCCGCCCTTGGTACACATCTTGCCCTCCAGTGTTTCCTTCATAACGGTCTGGTGGCGTTTTGTATGACCAAACTATTGTATTTTTCTGCTTTTCGTTTTGTTAAGCATGATTTTACAGCTACGCTGATTAAATATATACACATTACCAACAACAACCCGTACCTGTACAGTTGAAGAGAGACGGTTGGCCCGGGTTCACCTTTTGGTTCTCGAAGAAGACAAAACGAGGAGCCGTCACTGGGGAAAAAAGAGAAAGGTACATCATCTCAACATTATCATCATCAACGGCTCAACCTCTACGGTACAAAGGAGGCATTACTTCTCCAGATTATTCTTCCTTATTCTTATCTTTCTTTTCAAGGAATCACAATACTATGTAGATACAAGCAGGGGTTCCCTATCTGGGGCACGTGAACCATCTGATGAGCGTGAATCCATTCAAGAGGGTACGTGAAACATTCCTGAAAACCATCACCATCAGATTACAATAACAGCCGTAACCACAACAACGACAACAACAACACCACAACATCACCACAACTAGTGCTAGAGTACCTTTTATGTTGTAAAAATGACTTTTATGAGATGAGTATCACAGTGCAATTCGTGCTCAGATCATGGTTTGATAAGTTGAGGGTTAGTGAAGACCTCTGATGTCCACAGATGGTTCGTGAGGTAAAAATTTAGTGAGATGTAGGGTTCGAATGAGCATAACAAAGAAATCTTGCCCCCCCCCCTTTCTCTGCCACTCTTAATGAAAATATGGTGAGAATAGCAGCCTGGGGTGGAGGCGGGGGCAGCCTTCAAAATCCTTCATTAGTGTCTAGTAAGGCATCCCACTCATATAAAATAATTTTTGAAGCAGTCGATACATATACTCAGCGCCACTCACCAGGTTCACAGAAGGGCGGATTGAAGAACCCGTTCCGACATCGGCACTGCTCCATGGGCCCCAGGAAGCGGTCACAGTGCTTAGGGTTCTGACACTGGCATATCTGGCCACACTCCCATCCGTAGCGGTTAGCGAAACACGGCACAGCTGTCGGGGGGAGACAGGGAAAGAAGATACATTATGCTATGTTTGGGAAGCATGTTTAAGAATGAGGTAGTCGTCGGTGGGTTATTGGTCTGTTAGTGGTGATGGTGGTGGTGATGATGATGATGATGATGATGATGATGATGATGATGATGATGATGATGATGATGATGATGATGACGATGAGTATCATGATTGTGGGGAAAATGGTGATGGTGGTGTTGATTGTGGTCATGTTGTGACGTAATTGTTGTCGTTGTTGTGGTTATTGTTGTTGTTGTAATCTGATAATGATGATTATTGTTGTTATTCTAGTAGTAAAGTGATGATGATGATGGCTAGTGACGATTACAATGATGATGGTACTGACGACGATGATTCACGCAATCTTTGCACGTATTTGTTTTGATTTTTTTGTCTTTCTTTTCTCTAATCTTTCAGTCTCATGCATTCAATCAATTTTTCTTCGTCAATCATTCTGTAATGTAAACATGTCGGCTATCAGACGGTATGCTAAATGAAATAGACAGCGTTATGTACATAACACAGTGCACTGCCTCTTTTCAACCTAGGATTAGATTTATGAAACTGAATGTACATAAAGAGCGTAAAAGATTCACATAATTTGTTTGAGACTAGAATCAGGATGGCTATACAGCAATGAAATATCGATGTTTGAAAATACTTCTATTACCCCCCCCCCCCTTTCCCCTTACATACACACACACGTAAACCCCTTTCTATGCACATACACAAGCATACAGGCCAAGAGATATGTATGGCTCTATGTTACATGTACAAAAAATGGTAGAAGTTCGCGGCCGGTGAGTTGGCTTTAGAAACTACAACCTCTCTGATGCAGGACTGGAATCCTTTCTCCGTACTGACTATGTCGTCTTCTCTATATCTTGTGTCATTCTATAGTCTGTTCCCAATTTGATAAAAACATAAAACCCCATCCATCCGAGAAAAAGACTATTAACCCCCCCCCCCCTCCAAAAAAACAACCCCCAAACAAACCCAAAAAGAACCCCTAAAAGGATCAAAAACACAAAAACAACATATAAAAGGAAAACGAGCAACAACACCAACACGAACAATAAAAAAAAACAAATAAAACAAAACTTTCCAAAACCCCCAGAAAAATAACAAAATGAAACACACACAAAAAGGCAATAACGACGTAATGTGTAAATTGCAGTGTGTCACAAGCTATGGTAACATTATTTTTACTCTCAATTTCTTTTCAAGACATTGGGCTTTATTTAAACCACGCTTCGCCTTTTCCCTTCATTTATAGCCCTTTATGTACTTAAATTGTGGCGTTCGATTTACTAGCCCAAGGAAAGCTTCATATGTGATATTCACAAAATGTATTGGTTTCAAAAGGTGTTGTAGAGTAACTAACCTCTGGCTAAGAAGTTAACGTGTCATGACCAGCCAGTGCTGACAGTCCCCAGCTTCCGTTATATACTCTGTCATATTTAGACCAAAAACACCACGGAAAAACAAAACCAAACAAACAAACAAACAAATACACACACAAAGAAACACTTACGTGTCTGGCAGTCCGAGCCAGTCCATCCCTTGGCGCAGCCCGAGCGACATCTGCCGAGTATACTGTCACATCTCTCGGAGCTGTCCAAGCAGTGGCACTCCTTCATACAATTGTGCCCGAACCGACCGGACGGGCAGCCTGTTGGAAGAGAGAAAAGGTAATAAATAAACTACTGCAATTGATTAGAACTTTTGACGCATATTATTGCATCCGCGCCAAAGAGTGAGATTTCATTTGCCGCAATGTCTGGTAAATACTGTGCAAAAAGGGGAAGGCTGTAGACCGAGAAATATAGATATCTCCCTCTCTCTTTCTCCTTCATTGTCTGTCTGTCTGTCTGTCTGTCTGTCTGTCTGTCTGTCTCTCTTAGACCCTCCCCCCACCCACACACACACAAACACTCTTTCAGATATCATACAAAAACACACACATACACACGCGCACACCCTATTCATGTTCTACTTTCTTCTTCTGTCTGTAGCCTCCTCCTTTTCTTCTTCTTC